GCAGCATTCACAGCTTCTAGAGGCAGGTTGTAGGCAGAGCCAGACCAAACAAAAAAAAACCCTTAAATTTTATCTGGAAGCATCTATTTGATGCTCGTTCTAGGCAGGAAACCCTATATACCATTTCAGACAAATTTCTGTCCAGTCTCTTCTTTAAAAACTTCCAGTGTTGGAACATTCACCGCTTCTGGAGGCAGGTTGTTCCACTGGTTAATTGTTCTCACTGTCAGGAAGTTTCTCCTTAGTTCTAGGTTGCTTCTCTCCTTGATTGGTAACAGAATAACACAATAACAGAGTTGGAAGGGACCTTGGAGGTCCTCTAGTCCAACCCCCTGCTCAGGCAGGAAATCCTATATACCATTTCGGACAAATGGCTGTCCAGTCTCTTCTTAAAAACTTCCAGTGTTGGAGCATTCACTGCTTCTGGAGGCAGGTTGTAGGCAGAGCCAGACCAAACAAACAAACAAACAAACAAACAAACAAACAAACAAACAAACAAACACCTTAAATTTTATCCGGAAGCATCTTATTTGATGCTCGTTCTATAAAACACCAGAAATTGTGCCATATTATCCGACGGGCACCAACTGAGAGACACGACTAATAGCGGTGGGAGCTAAAACGAGCTGGTTTAATCACTTGATTTGCACACCTGCCTGGCCGGATACTCCGCAGGGGGAGAGACGCAGCCTCTGCTCCCCGTAAAGCCTCGTTGCCCACAATACACCCACCCTGGCCCGGCTGTGCCCGGCAGCAGGGATCACCGTTTCTATGCCGGCTGAGCCGCTTGGCGGCTTTGGCGGAGGCCGAGCAGATTAAGGACAATCTCCTCGCCCGGGCGACGCCGATCCAGGCAGCGAGGGAGAAGCCTCTTGTTTACCTGCCGTGACATTTTCCCCCCGCCGACCTCATGAAATCGGAGCTGGAAGGGACCGTAGAGGTCATCCAGGCCAACCCCCTGCTCAGCGCGGGGTCGACGGCGGCGGCAGCAGAGAGACCGCCCAGCTGGCATCTAAAAAGGGTCAATCCTATTTTCAGCCGTTCAGAAGTGTGCAATTCTAGGTGTGGCCTTACTAAGCCTTTACAGAGCGGTATTAATACCTCCCGCGATCTTGATTGAATCCCTCTCTTTTTTTTAAAAAAAAAAAAGTTTTTTTTATTAATAAAACAATTAAAACAAAAAAGGACATGACATGACGTTCCAGTATATATAATCCTAACAATTCGTTCCTTGTCATACTTAAAGTTCTATATATACATCTCTCTCTATATATATATATACATATATTCCCCTATATAATACAATATTATACAATCTCGAGCTTATTTCTCTGTATATTAACATATAATTTTATATACCACAAACTTAAACTTTAACTCAAAACCCGAACAGTTCTTCTTGACTCGTACCAGCAGTAAAATTTGTCCCAGATTCCAAAATAGTCCGTTTCTGTCTTGTCCTTTAGTTCCATAGTTAGCCTGTCCATGTCCGCACACGATAAAATTTTTTGTAGAATCTCTTCTTCAGTAGGAATTTCTTTTGTTTCTCCAATTTTGTGCATAGGTCAGTCTGGCGGCCGTAAGGATGTGTAGCATTAGGTAGAGCAGCGGTTCTCAACCTGTGGGTCAGGACCCCATTTGGGGTCGATCGACCATTTCACGGGGGTCGCCAAGCAAAATGTCGGCCATTTTTTTTGTCCGCCATTTTTTTTGTCCGCCATTTTTTTCCCCCTTTTCCGGCAGGTGCCTTACCTCCCTTGGGCTGGGCCAGCTGGTGGTCGGCCTGCTCCGTCTCTGCCGCTTGCCAGCTACGCCTCGGCCGGCGCAGGGGGCGGAACCACGCATGCGCGGTGCTCCCGGGCAGGGAAAGTCCTCGACTTACGACCGGTTGGGTAGTCCTCGACTTACGACCGGTTTAGTCCTCGACTTACGACTGGTTTAGTCCTCGACTTACGATTGGTTGGGGTCGTGGCATTAAAAAGGTTGCGAACCACTGAGGTAGAGTGTCCCTTTATCATATTTTTGTATGGTAATACCAAGTAGGAAGAGTTCTGGTTTTAGTTCTACCTCTGTTGTTAATATTTCTTCTAACCATTTTTTAACCTTGTTCCCAAAAACACGGGCTTTCGGGCCCTCTCTTAATGCAGCTTGCCCCCAAGGAAACTCCTGGCTGGCTGCGGAAGGGGGCAAGGCCGGAGCTGACCTCCCCCTGCCCGTTTTTCTCCTTTCGGCTGCAGATGTGAAGTACGTGGAGAACTCCAGCGTGGTGAAGGAGGCCCAGGAAAAAGCCAACACAGCCCTGATGGAGTACACCATCTGCCAATATCCGCACATCACGGACAAATTCCGGCAGTTGCTCATCCAGCTGGCGGACATCCGGGCCCTCAGCATGCAGGCCGAAGATTACCTGTACCACAAACACCTGAGCGGGGAGGTGCCTTGCAACAACCTGCTGATTGAAATGCTGCATGCTAAGCGGACTTGACCCCAGGCAGGGGACGGACGGACGGACGGAGGCGGATGGAGGAGGCTGGGGCAGTGGGGAAGAGTCAGGCCAGGGGGAGGGAGTTGAGCGGGGTTGGCAATTAGGGGAGCCCTCCCCTAATCTGGGCTTGACCTCTCGTTGTCCAGCCTGCTGGAATTGGGCCAATCCCACCCAATTGGGTCTTTTTGTCCCAAGATGCTGCGATGTTTGGAAAGCCGAAAGAGCAACTTAACGCTTGGAGATGGTTTGGCGGCTGAGTCTGCCGTGGGGGACCCCCAAATCTGGGGTGAGTGGGTGGGTGGGGGCAGAGAGAGGAGCTGCCCTGTCTTTTCTTCCC